ATTAAGCTCACGTATTAGTGTGGTAGCAATGTCAATTCTTACGTGCAATACCAATGTCAATTTTCACTTGAAAATATAAAGCAAAAATATGTTTTCAATTCAAAATAGCCCATTTCGGGCACTGCAGTTTGTAATGTCAATAAAAAATATCTCACACCATTTTAAGTTTAACTCAGTTCATGGATCTGCCCTAGGACACTGCAATCCATAAAAGTCAATAAATTAAAATATCATATATTTTCATATTTCTTCATAAGCATTTTATTGTTTTTTTTAGTTTTCAATATAAATCAGTTTACGATATAATATAATATAAAAAACCTTTAATATGAGATTTAAGGAATGTATGTAGTTTACCTTTGTCTCCCATAAGTAAAGTTTGTTTCTACCAATTTTATATTTTCTAAACATTTTAATTTATTCGTAGTCGTTGGCATGGAAATTAGTAAAACAACATAAATTCAACCTTTTGTCGGATTTTTATAGAAAATGGGTATACGGATTGTGTAAACTTAAGTCATTTGATAAAATTAGTTTGGACTTTTGTTAATTGGATTTTTTGTATAGGTCGAGCCGTTAAATATAACGGCTTAATTAAACGCTTTATCAAAATAAACGATTATCATATTTTAAAAACTCGAAAAATTTTTGCTGATTGCATTTATTGAAACGTTTGAGCTTCAAGACCAAATACCACCTACACCTAGTTATTCATTTATTTATTATTTACAACATCTTTAGACTGAAGGCGATATGTAACGGACTGCATTTTCCGGGTGGTGCACTTTAGCTAATGGTCTCATATTACCGCGCGTTGGCGCATACAAGTGCATGTGACATATTTATTATTATAATTAATTACTAATTACTGCGATGTTGATTGTGGTAGGTGTTGGCATTTAGTGCGACTAAATTTAGCTAATCATGCACTACTCTCAAGTAGCTAATTATATTCTAGTGCTATTATTAGATTTCACGTTCAATTTATTAGTCAAGTTATGAAATTAGCTATTAGTGATAAAATCTTTTTTAAACAATAAAAAATTGTAAACATTTAAAGGTTCACACAATCAAGATCATAATACTTTCAAAAATTTTAAAAAAAATATAATATATATGCATATTCATATATACACATATATACAGGGTGTCCCATAACTCAGCGTCAAGTCGAAATGGGCTTTTAAGGGCAACTCGAAAGTTTAGTCAAGCTGACCTCTTTGGTAATCATTTTTCGTTTAGTTTGGATAATTTTAAATATTTTTGTTCATTTTAACAATAGAATCGCAACCGTAAAAAACATTTATAAAACTTAGCAAACTTTGTGTTATTTTTAGGTTTTTTTATTTTTACTCGAATATTTGTATTACAAAATTTTTCAAAAGTATATAAGTATATAGTATAAGCTTTAGTACATTATTTGAAAATTGGGCTTATCAAATTCGACCAATTTTGAAAATTTTATATTCACAGTTTAACAAAAAGTCTTATTGAAAATTTGGGGCAAATGTAAAATTATTTTAGTCTTAAGAGTGTCATTCACGTTGTAAAGTTGAAATGAACAAATATAATGAAAATTAAGCATAATAAGCAAAAAATGGTTATATAATATAATATAATACATATAATAAGAATCACATTATAATCAAATATGCGGAATGGTGTACATCAACAAAAATGTATAATTATTTTTGTAAAGATAAGGTTTTGTTGAAAATAAAATTTTTTGACAAATATTACTATATATTATCATAACAGGACGTCCAATAACTGAACTGACAATCAATTTAGGCATTCTCGGTACTACCAAAGATTTTCCGATGTTCTATATGGTATAGATACAGGTATTATAAAAAGCAATATTACTATATGTTTTATTTTTGCCATACAATAATATATTACCATTTTGTCATAAAACAGAGATAAGCTATGATATTTCTAAAATATTTTCCATGAGTCCAATAAGCACGTGGCAACGGTTCATTATTCGACCAATAATCATATCTGCCGACGATTACGATAACCCTAGCCCTTAAAGTGGGAGGAATTCGGCAATGACTATGTTGGAATGCCCGAAATACCTGCACATTAGAATCCTTCCTTTCTTAAGGTTTTGATCCGAAAATACTAAAGTTGTGCGTATTTTCGTCCGCCGAATTCCTCTGTGAAGAATCGTGAACGGCTTAGCGACGCCGGATAGGAAATTCATACCGTTGCTGTAAAATACCCATGTGAGTGATTAAAGAAAGGGACGAGAAAAGGGTTAGGTCCCTTTTCCGAAGGGGCATCTATAATGCAATGATGGATTCGCGAAACGAAACAAAATTGAAAAAAGCAATATCAAACTACCTAAAAATTGTATATATGAGAAAGTTTTCGTTTGATTCTCATGTATTTTTATACTATAGCAATATACCTTTGAAAAACTCCATTATTTGAATAAGATGTTTTACTATTTTTGGAATAGCACATTTGTAGGTAATATATGTGCATTTTTAATCTCTGTAAGTTAATGAATTGAAATGATAATTATCTTACCTAAAGTATCTACCTACGTCACCGTTTGTTGTACTAATATCCATTTGGGTTCGGATTATAGTTTCGTCGTCGTCTTATCAGTTGGCTTTAGTTTAGCAAGCACCTACCACACAGTAAGTCTATCTATTAACCATTATTAAATTTGTATATAGAACGAAGTACCTCGTGAGACATCAAAGTTGTTAGAATAGAATACATTAGCGACAGTCGGATGCGACTTCGTACGTGATCGCTTACTTAATTCGTTTTGCTCTGAATAATTTTCACTTTAAACTAAAGATAATTTAATTTAAAAAAATTAAACTTACAAATTGCCAGCTAAACAATGAAAATGCTAAAACTCAGAGAAGTAATAACATTATATTACGTTTGTTTCGTGAAATTCCCATTTCTTTATTAATAAATTTATGGAATTAGACTAAAATGAAACATATCTCACTAATATTTGTAAGAGTAGGAAAGTGTTGTTGCGCACAGTTTGTTGATAAATATATTATCACAGAAAAATAACTTCAAGACCAATTTTTAAGTTAGCAATAACTAACAATTCTTTAGAAAAAGGAATGAATCGTACATGTGTATAGACTCACAATCATAATACCGCTCGAATCCTATGGAAAAATCTCATGTTTCGACTATAATGGAAAATACAGACTACTTACTCCAAGTAGGCATATCTTCTCACGCACCAATCAGCTCTTTGGCTAAATTATTGAAGTATCGTGTAATGTAATGTCTGTGCTTCTAAGTACTCTCATAAGAAAATTAAATAATCTGGTAGAGCACCACACTATTGATGCTGTATCATGTTGTCTCAAGCTTTTATTAAATTCGCTCATAATGTATTCGGCGGGCGCTCTTGAAGTATGTAAATTTAATATGCGACATTAGGTATCAGCAGATGGGTTAAGGTTTTAAGCGCCATCATACGCTTTACTGAAGGTTTTATGCACAGAATAAATTTTATGAACAATTAGATATGGAAACATACTTTTGTGCTATTTTGATCGTTAATAATCCACTTATAAAGGTTAAATACTTAAGCACATTCTTTTCCTTGATATAACTTTAATAATCATGTATATTAAAATACTTATTATAAAACTTTTATTACATAAAAACGTATCTAATTTTATGAAAACATTATCATTCCCAAATCTCAACGTAAGTACGGTGGAGCGATCTGGTATGTTTTTGCAAATGATAATGTTTTGCGCTAAAACACACGTGCTACAAATGACGCAATTTTCGTTTAGTAAATAGTAACTACTGAATACTTAAAGTTTTCAGTTTAAATTTTTATTAATCCATGAATGGACAAGAACATCAAAATGATCGTATAAATATTTTTTTAATTATTAGAAGTCGTAAAATCGATTACAAGTGCTTAAACGTTTTTTCACATTATTATATAAAGTATTTGAATAAATAAAATGAAGTAATATAAAATAAATATGCATAGCAGAATTGCATGCATTCATTAAAGCATGAAAGCTAGCACTCGAACATGCAAGCCTCTTGAAAATCCACGATGTACGCTCGCAATTATCATATCCCAATTAATACGACTGAGTTATTCATCTCTCTCGACATAAAATAACAGAATTGGCTAAATTAATAATGTTTCTATCTCATAATTAAACTCTGAGATTTATTTATTAAATGTCGGAATTGCTCGTAGCATCCGCTATGGAAACAAATAACAACATCGCGTTTGCAATGGCTATTATATAATCGAGAATTCTGTTAAATTAGCATGTTGTTTTTCTTATTTATCTTTGTGATTCACGTTGTTATCAATTATTTTCTTTTGATCATCAACAAGTGAAATATTTATTTATATTTTAGAATCAAATCAGAAATTAGCATAGTATATACTGATCTCCTAGTAGTACTACTACTCTACTCTATTATCTATTAAATTATTTTTTACTTCAAGTTATACTAATTCAATGTTTTATAAATTATTTTAATGCTCTCATAAAAATATAACTTATATTATTACTGCAAGCGTATATAATAATATAAATATTAATTTACCTGGTTTATCAAATATATACTTTTAATATTGCCCATTAAATTGTGAACTGAAAATTAAATTGCAATGCAGTATGGTGGTTAATTAAACTTAAATTATTTGAAAGTATTTAATGTTACTATAAAAATATTATGTGGCTGAACATTTATGTTGTATTACATGCATGTCGTTTTGATATTAATTAAAATTGCAATTTTGTACGTAGGGTTAATTAATAATTATGAACTTTATTAATGTGAAATTATGAAAAGGTTTGAAATTGCACTAATAATTAAAGTTGATCAACTTAATTAATTTTTTGTATCATATTTAAAACTTTATAATTGGTACATACTACATTTGCAATATGTTAAAAAAATATATCTTCTGAATAAAGTACGAAGTGGTAGTACAATAAATGATTGTTTACAAATTTCCTTTACAGTTTACCAGAAGCAGCACCGACCACGGTAACAGCTCTTCATAGATTTGGAGCAGAAATGTTAAAGTTATCTCGTGGTCTAGAAACTTCTGCTGCAAATGCAACTGCAGTATCTACCTGCGCTAGGGAATCTTGTAATACTGCTACTGCTCCAGTCGGTTTGACTGAAGATGGAATTCGGGCAAGATGTCGCACGAATTCGAAAGAATCAGAGTTTATAAAAAGACAAGGGTCTGTTGACCTCAATAATGGCAGGTAAGAGTAAATATAAGCCAAACGAAATAAATTTATAACCATAGTTTACGGTAAAGAATAAAAAAATTTTGTTGTTGAGTTTAACTTTTGGCACTGTTTAGAAGTATTAGTGTCAATTAATATTTCATAATTACGATATGATTTTTAGTAACGATAAAATTCGATTGAAACTTGTTTTTAAAATCAGTCATCATCAAATGGACACTTTTTTATTCTTTTTATTTAATATATATAAATAAATATACGAGATGACACTCTACATAAAGACTTAATGAAGTAATTAAAGAAAGAAGCAAACAAGAAAATTTACCACGTCACCCAAACAAATATTTAAAAGAATTAAGTCTCCTACTCGACGATTGAAAAAAAATGGCCATACGATCTTAAATAAAATGTCAAAAAAACATCTGCATGCAAAAATATGCAAACGCATTTACACCCAGCATATTGTCTTAAAAAATTATATTATTTGGATCGGCAATAAATTTATGCAAAAAATACGAGTAATATTTAATATTACTAGAAAATTATTTAACTATCACTTTATAAATGTACAATAAACGTTCGATCAATCATTTTCAATGAATGGTCGTTCATCCAGAAGGAGATCGGTCAAAATTTATTACCATATATAGAAATGCATTAAAAATCTAAATTATTATAATTACACTATCATATCAGTAAACCATTATAAATACGATAACAGAAAACTCTTTTGATTAATTGAATCGTTTAAGTAAATAAACTATCAGCGAAAAGGTAAAATACTCAGTAACTGAACAATACGTTTAACTTATCGAATGGAAAAAAATATTAAGTCTTTGATATTTTCTTATGGAAAAACATTCATTCGGAAGCGTTTACCAAAATTAAATATTTCTTCTGCTAACAAAACCATTAATTAGACTGCGCAATCTAATTCAGAGTAATTATCAGAGTAAATATGAGATTGTGCACTTTTTAAATAATTCAAATTACACAATAAAATAATATTTGCTTCAAATTGGGTCCATTGTGGAAAGTAAGATTTATAATAGTCTTATTTATTTGTAGAACTATTTTCAATAAGAGCGTCATATCTTACAATAACTATTATCGAAATATCCGAAAAAATAAAACAGCGTCCAAGAAGTAGATTAAAAATGCTTAAATTAATGCCTTGGTAATTAAAATGTAATTTACTATTGGAAGCCTGCACTAAATTTTATTTTTATTCATTACGGTTTGCTTAAAAATAATTAATCGAATAAATAAATGGATTTTCAATTATAATAATTGTTTGGAAAATTTTACTAATTATATGCAATAGAGATGAGTGAAAATCGCTCATGATGATTAACGTTGTCCTCATTAGTAGATTTCTATTATCATTAATCATTTTTCAATATTTGCTCATGTAATTATGTAAATATAGATAATTTTTAATAGTCAATTCAGTATTAGCATCATTTTATGGTTATTCAAACGCGAATAAATAAATTAATATTAATATTGATACGATTATTCACTATGTGAAAGCTAATCAATCGCATCACGCCTAGAGGCTTCCGCATGTACAAATATTTTATCTATTTCATGAACTAAATAAATACATTTAAACCAGGTACATTCATATTTGCTTTGTGCAATTTGTGCCCCAGTATGGTGGTCTATTAATTTCGTTTGTATTTCAACAAACGAAAGACAAACATGGCTTTGCTCTCTGGAACACAAACATGACCAGACTGTCATATCATCTGGTTGAATGTAGGTCCTGTAGGCAGTTTTGTAACGAACGGACAAGTAATAAAATAGGCCAGTTTTGTAATAAACACACGCGAAATGGTCGAATTTTCAGACACGAGATAAGAATTTAATTTAGACAATTTAGCGAAGCGTTTTATGAGCCATTTAATACATTTTAATGTGACTTTAGTCGTACATGAACAAAGTGAATTTATGGGCCACGGTAACGATATTGTTAAAAAATATATGAAAGGTCCTAAAAGTTGCAAAGCTGATCAAAATGAAAATTGTATTCTTTTGGGAAAGAAGAAGCTTCTATATTATCTGATAGAATGAATTAGGTTCGTTTGTTTTTTTTGTTTTGTTTTGTTTTTACATCTTTTTGTTTGTTTTTCGTTATTTTTTAAATCACGATTGTACCAAAAAGTACGTCTTTACAATGAATTGAGTTCTATACTCTATAGTTATATAGAAGAATAAAACTTCTAATAAAAAATATCTTATAAAAATGCATAAAATTGAGCTTAATATTGAAGAGAATTTAGGTTATTGAAAATATATTAAAAGGCAATTTGCTGGAACTTCCCGTACCGTAACAAAATGTTCGAGGAATACTGAATGTTTTCAAATAGATTATTATAAATATTGTAACATTGTCTAATATTTATATGAATTATATAAACTGAATTGCAAAGTTGTAATTATTTGTTTAATGTATATCAGAACTATAGCCAGAATTAAAAATAAAATCTGAATTATTTTCGATAAGCAAAAGTTGGAACAAAATTTTTTATTCCAAAATTAATTATTTTGTTAAGACAAGCAGAAAGTTTTTTGAATCATTTAAATCGGTTGCTTAGTTCTCTCAAAAACTGCCATTTTTTGCACATTTAGCTCCGTATCTTCGAAATGGCTGGGCCTGCCTTTGCTAAAAACTAATAAACGTTTCTCCCAATCATTACTAATTGAATGTTTTTTAGGTCATTCAAATCGGATACTCCGATCGATTTCTATTTTCTGCACTCTTTGCTCTTTATCTCCGTAACTGCTGGACCTGCCTTTGCCAAAAACTAATCAACACATCTCCCTATCAATAGGAATCGAATGTTTTTTGAACCGAAAACCTGACCGAAAAATTGTATCCATACATACATACACACACACACATTCATTTTTTCTTAGGTATGTCAAAATGTTCAGAAACCTTCAAAACGTCGAGAAATGTAAAAATTTTGTGAAAAATATGCCTATTTATTTATGTATTTATTTTTTATTTTCTTATTATATATATGTGTAACTAATAACTTCACTACAACTTTTATTTTTAATTTAATTCAATTAACAACAACTTTTTCTGGTATCCTTCATGGTATAATCGCTGTTAATAGTATTTTTATCAAGTTATTTATTGAATAAAAAACTAAAATTTTATATTAACCAGAGAGGTTATATTATAGGTCTTGGATGGCGTGATTAAATAGTATGAATTTAATAAATATATAGTTAAATATCGTCAGTATTATGGATTCTATTAGTTTTTTTTATATTTCCAATTTCAAATTCCACAAAAATTTTATAAATTAAAATTACGATTACGTAGCAGCGACTGCGATATATCATTTTTATAAAAAATACTAAAACATGATATTTCTTAACATTTTTAGTCAGTATTATTGATTCGAATATTTTTTTACGTTTCTCATTTTAATTTCAACAAAAAATGTATAAATACCAATTAAATTTAACATAGCAGAAACTGTGGCATGTAAATTTTATAAAAAATACCACACGAAATCTTATAAAATTACGTGTAATTACATAATTACGTTTATAAACTTAACATTTTTATAAAAAAACACCAAATTTACAAAAAAAATGAGATATTAAATCTATTAATTATCATTACGAAATTTTTTTATATTCTATCCATCAAACAGGTGTATATAAAATTTCATTAATTCATACATAAAATAATTTATCTACTGTTACTGATAAAACATGCGACAGCAAATATGATTTATTTAACTATACATCACTTTGACGTGCTATCATAAACTATTTAACGCTCGTGTACAACTAATATCAATTATTTATTGATGTCCATTGTGCTAATCATTCGTTTTAATTATCAGATACATGAATCAAGTATTGAGTCGAAATGATAATATTTTTTGGATGTCAAATGCAGAAAATTAGCGGGGGTAATGAAATTATAATATTATTCGATATATGGGATAATGAAAATATATAGAAGTTGATTTGATCACAATGATTTGGACAATACTTGACATATTATATTGTGTTTGAGCTTCATGGTTCAGTAACTTTGGCAAATGATTTTTTTAAAGATCTTCGGATTTTCGAATTATAGTAACAGATGGTAAAAGATCGAATACTCGAAAAGTTTAGTATTTACTTCAAAGCTATTCAAGATTGAAAATATTCTAGGAATATTTGAATTCGTATATTGGAAACATAGACTAATTTACAATTAAAACGTTGAATGATTAAATTTTTTATTTGGAAATATCAATTTTATAATAAAACTGATAATCAAAAGTATTTATATAAAATCAAAATTAGTTGCCTGATTTTTAAATAAAATCAGTGATGATACATATGAAGACTCTTCTTCCAAAAAATAATCAAGTGTATCAATAAAATATTTCATTCACAAAGAATTATTATTTTTAATTTTCGGATTAAAGTTTCAATATTTCTTGTATATTGGATTGTTGATGGTACAGTTGTGAACGTATGTCCATTACATTTGCATATAAATCTCCAATGCTTTTTATTGTAAAAATATGGAAATCGTATTTTTAAGGTATACATATATATATATATATATATATATATATATATATATATATATACTAGCAAACCCAACGAACTCCGTTTCGCCACCAGATGGTTTCGTGAGAAAGATGAAGAAATTTTTTGTTTGTTTTATATTTGAAAAGGAAAAATTTGATTTTTTTACACAACAGTAATGAATTTATTTTGATTACAAAAATGAAGTGTTTTTTAGTTAGACTTCTCTAAGTAAATAAAAGTAAATCCGCAAATTATCCGTTTCATTGAAGTGCTCTTTGGTAAAACACATTTTTTGTTTTTTGGTCTGACTTAACACAAACAAAGCGGATGGTTTTCCAACTCGTGAACAGGCAACGTATAACTGCCCATGTGAAAAACAATGATTTTCTAAATAATCTATTTGAAATTTATCCCGCAAACACTAAGCGATTGGCCTTGCGATTTGTTATTGCGAACGC